ACTCCCCACCGCACCGTGTTCCAGTTGGGCGCCCCCCCGGGCCCCCGGGGCGACAGGAACACCAGCCACAGGCTGAAGAACGACAGCGAGATCCAGTGGTGCGGGATCAGCATGCCCGTGTACGACTTTGGAAAGTCCGAGTAGCGCCCGATCATCTGGACTAGGTCTGTGGCATACGCTGCATAAAACAGGGCGACCGCGGGCAGCCGGAACCACCCGTCCCCGACCGCCGCCGCGTCGTGGCGGCCCGGGCCGAGGTGGTGGCGGGCGAGGAGGGCGAGGAAGACCGCGCGGATGAGCATGCTCGAGACGTAAAAAACGGCCTCGGTCGTCTGGCGGCGCGCGGCGCCGAGGAGCGGGCGCAGGGCCGCCTCTTGGAGCGCAAGGATGGCGGCCGTGAGGGCGGCGGCGAGGGCGGCGACGCGACCGAGCTCGGGGAGAGTCAGCCCGGCCTCGCCCTTTGGCAGGGTCGTCCAGCCCATGGCCTTTGGGGGGTGGGGCAGCGCGTACACCGCCAGGCCGCCGAATATGATGAGGGTGCCGGCTGACATGGCGAGGCCCGCGGCCGCCATCACGCGGCGCTGCGTGAAGCCTGCCGCGTGGCGCGCGGCGGCGGACGCCGCCTCCTCATCGGCGCGGGGCGCGGGGGCTGGGGTCCTTTCGGCGGCGGCCATTGGGGCTGCGAGCATGCGTGTTGTGGTTGCCACCACCCTGCAGCACGCACGATGCAACGCCTGATGTTGGTCCAAGGTCCAGGGAGGGGGATGGCATGTAATGTAACCGTGAGGCTTTTTGGTTTAGTTCTGGCTACTCGATGCCCAGCACCACGCCGCCCTGGTGCGAGCCGATGCAGCCCTGTCGCCAACGCTGCATGGCCTCCCAGGTGACGACGCCGACTACAGGGCAGGCACCTGCCCGAAGGCCACACAAGTTGGCTCAAACGTGCGTATCACATTCTCACCTTGTATGGTACTGCGTGCGGGCTGCGCCCTTGAGCGAGCAAGGAGGGAGCCGCTCTGCGTGGGATATGCTCGCACAAGGGCGTCTAATGCCTACAGCAGCAAGTGTTTGTGCATAAATTTGTCTTGCTATGCTGATTCGTGCTCGTTTCAACAATCGTTTCACCCAGGTGCTCGTGACACGCCAAACAAGCGCGGCTTCCTGTTTGATGGCACCGGTCGGCTTGGTGGTGCCAGGGTTATAAGGGGGGCTGCGTATGATGTATCGAATACAATTTTAGTGACATATTTGAGACTCGGATCCGGCAGAAGCAGCCGGAGTCATGCCGTCATGATGATGCTGCTGGCAATCACAGCGACCGACGGCTTCCTGCAAGGCACTCGTTGGCGTGCATTGCCACTGGCGGGGCCGTACTGCTACTCGCCATTCCAGCACAGCAATGTGCCTGTTATAAACACCACAGGCACCCGAACACTACCGTACCGAGCACTGTGCGCATGTGCTCAACTGCCAAACTTGGAGGTCAGCCATAAGGGCGTCCATGCAGCATGGCACGCGGCTTCTCCACTGCTCAAGGTGACTGTAGCTGGCAGCACCAGGCCCGCTTGAACGCAGATGACGCAATGAGCCAGGCACATATCACATGCAAAAGGGGACGACAGGGCCACAGGTCGCACACAGCCACACACCCTGTAAAGCGCAATGGTGCCGGCTTTGGCCGCACGCACACCCCGTGCAGCATGAGTGCTTCGCAATTCACCATTTGCCGCTGCTCCCGCCGATTCAATGCCACAAATGCCCGAGATGAGTCTTTTTCGCTGGCATGCCGCACCCGCAGCAGGAGCAAGCCAAGGGGGCGGCGAATCGGCGCTGCCCTGGCAGTAGGAGGTCAACGGGTTGATGCACACATTCATATACAGGGTTGTAGGGCTCACAAAAAACGAGGCTCTGCAATCACAAGCATGACTCCCAAGCACTCCCCATGAGTCGTCGACCAGTTATACCTGGTGGCAGCTGCACATTCGCCACAGCTGGCCTTCAGGATGCAGGTACAGGCCGGCTTGGTCCGTTTACTTGCGCTGCCACGCCACGAAAGCCGTTCGGGGATGGCTGCTCACCTTGCTGCCTCCTCGGAGCCTCACCTGCCCCAACCGCTCAGACACCAGCAGCCCTGGTGATGGCAACCACCCGTGCGGTACGATCACATGTATGCATGGTAGTGGGGATTCATGTTTGATGTTCCGGAAACAGGATAGCCCACGTGCAGCGGGTGGGAGGCACTGAAGGCTGTGATGCGCATGATAAAATTTACACTGAACCAGCGGCAGCATGAGTGCGGAGGCCAGGGTGCAGATGCCAGGAGGATGGTAAGCATGAAAGCAATCTCCCGTGGGCATGACACGACTTGACGAGCTTGCCTGCAATCATACTGTAGATAACAGGGCAGCATGCACAGGGCGGGCGCACACACAGGCGTGTTTGAACAATGCTGGGCGGCCCCGAATGCATCCAGGGCCTGACTTGCTCCTGGCAGCAGCAGCCGCCAGCGGTCGTTCAGTGATCTCCATGCAGCCCATCAATCACGTGCTGTATGAGTGCGTAGACGCTGTATGATGCACCAATATTGTGTGGAGCACCGTACAGCAGAGTACCGTAGCGCACCCGGGCAGGGCAGGCGATCACAGCACAAACCCAGCGATCTGCGCGGCGCCTGGCCTGAGGGCAAGGCTTGTAGGTGCGGGGGCTCATCGTCATTGGTTCAGGGATGCTGATGTGCTGCGTGGGGCTAGGCCTGGGCAGATCAGCTGCGAATCAGTCGTCCCACCCCACCTCCCCTTGCGTGTTGCGGCCTGCGATGCCCGAGCCCGCGTGCGTTGAACACGGGGAGTTTGGAGGAGCCGAGGAGCGCAAGCGCTGGCCTCAGCCTGCCAGAAATTCAACCCTGGAGCACCCCCGTAGGAGCCTCCCGCCACAGGCACCCACGACGTGCAAGGTGGGCAGCCTGCGACGAGCGGGTGGCCTACATGATCACCACCACACTCGGGTCAGGTAAGTATGAAGAGGCACAGGGCGCGCGCGCATTTGTAGCGTTGCCGGCGCGCCTGCAGCGCTTCCGGCTTCGCCACGGGTCCGCCTTCCGGCAGCTGCCATGGCACTGTTGGTGCGGCATGTGTGGGGATAGGGGGTTGTGGGTGCTCTACGATTCCGTTGGGTTCGTGTTCGCGTGATCCACACCAAACATGCCTGAAAAGCCACGTGCAGGTGCAACGTTGCGTCTACTGTATCAGTCTGCAGTGTCGTGCGCGGCGCCCGCTTCAACAGGAACATACACGGCATCAAAGCCATTATGTGCTGTTGATTGCTCGCACCACTACCACTTGGTCAGGACATGGTTCTGCCAAGGCGCACACATCAATGGTCACCAAGCAGCAAGCTTCACTGAATTCAAGTGTTTATACTAGACATTGTTCTGTCGAGCGGCCACAAATACAAAATGCACGGTTTCCAAGGATTTGCGCTGCGCTGCCGCGTCAAAGCCACGTACATGCATGGCAAAAGCCTGGTTTTGGCCACTGCAGCCACCAGTTAGTACATAATCATCCACAGGAGCTGTGCTTCCAGTGTGTCGTTTCAATTGTCCTCTGCCTCCCAAGCAGACAGTCACAACCCATCCTTGTGCTACCCGCTGCATTATTACAACACATCATGAGGTGTCCGGGTCCATGTGGGGCACCTTTTTGCTACCAGGATGCCAAGGGGGACTACATGTGCTTCAATTGGTTTGAAACCATCATAATCAACCTCCTGAGCCAATTGAGAGCCGGCAGCGAGCTTTTCTTCAAGATTCGCCAGCGCAATCTCCGCGCAGAATCGGGTTGAGATAAGAACAGGTGCGCACATACATCAAACACATGCATTTGTTTTATCAAGCCATTCCATTTGCTTATCTTTTCGAGAGCAGGCTGAAGCACGATGATCTCCTCAATCATGCTCTGAGCCATCCGCAGCCGCGACCCATGCGCGTATATATGCACAAGGATTGAGGTAAATCACGAGCGTCAGCCTGCGCAACATCATTTTGCGAGGTGCCTGCGGGTCCAAGCGCATCCAGTCCCTGCATCGCCTGACCGCCGACTTGCCTACATATAAGGAACGCATGTGAATAATGTATGCACTCTAACGCGCTGCCGCTGCCCCATGGGACCCGCAGGCGAGCTTTGCGTCAAGTGTTGACAAAGGGCGATTGCGCGCTCCGCTGCACCCGGCGCAATCTCCCGCAGCGCACGCCCAAGACCAGCCCTGGAATCTCTCGAACAGCGAATTGTGGCTGCAGGGGTGGGCGGCTGCTGGACCGTCACTCCTGGTTGTCACCTGATGGCGTCGCCGCATCACTCGGGCTCCGCAGCAACCGCGGCCTGCGCCAGCGCGGCCGCGCGGCCGCCGCAGCCGCCGCTGCTGGTCCCCCCTCAGAAGCTACCATCACTTGCCGCGCACAAGACAAAGCTCCAGCAGCCTGGCGGCCCCGCTGGGTTTCGCTCGCAGGCCTGCATCAGCGCCGGCGACGGGAGCGACGCCACCCAATTCAAGCCCTCACCCGACCGCCAAGCCCAAGCCGGCGCCGTCGCCGCCGCCGCCGGGCCCCGGGCCTGGACGCTGCCAGCACGGCCTGTACAGCTTGGGTTTGTCAGCCCCGGGCCACACCCGCCCGAGACGGTCCAGGCGTCCGCGCTGATCGGGAGCGCGGCGGGGGACGCGGCACATGGGAGCGACGGCAACGGTACCGGCAGCGGCGTCGGCGGCACGCCCGGTGGCAGCGCCGGCGCCGGCATCGAGCCGTTTGCGCCGAGCGCTGCTGCTCCCGCCGCGGCCGACGGCGCCGGCCTGCCGCCGGGGCCCTCGCGGCCGCGGCCGCCGCATGCGGCCAGGCCCGGCGGAGCGTCTTGCCCCCCTGACGCGCTCCTGCCGATCCCGGCACAAGCGCTGCCTGCGGAGCTTTCGCACCTGCGTAAGCGGATCAAGATCGTGCAGCCAATCTCAGCGGCGTGGGAAGAAGAGGCCCTCCGGGCCACCAGCGGCAGCGCCAGCGCCGACAGCAGCTGCGGCGGCCGCGACGGCAGCGGCGGCGCGGCCGCGGCGCGGCGGCGGCTGGGCGGCCGCAGCGCCTCGGGGTCTCGGGGCGGCAGCAACAACAGCGGCGGCGGCCCAGCGGGCAGCACGGCCGCGGCGCCATGCGCGGCGGCGATTGCCAGCATCCCTTGCGGCGGGGACGGCAGCGGAAGCGGCAGCGACGAGCGTATTGTCCGCCGCCGCAGCGGCGGCGGAGATGGCAGGCGCAAGGGCGGGGTGTTGGACTCACACGCCGCGAACGAGGGGGACGTGAGCAGCCCGCGGCGCCACAAGCAGCGCGACGGCCACGCGGCCGCCGCCACAAACACACGCAGAGACGGCAGCAGCGACGGGGCGGCGCCTCGTGACCACAAGCGCGACCAGCACCACCAGCAGCACCACCACCACCGGCGCCAGCGGCGTCGGCACAGCAGCGGCGACCGCTCGCCGCCGGCAACGCGGCGCAAGGGGGCACCGGTGCCGGCCGACTCTCGGCGCTCTGTCGCGCCAGCCAATGGCCCCTGCACCGGCGGGCTGCCGCCCGCCCACCCCTCGTGCTCGCAGCAGCAGCAAAGCTGCGAGCGTGCGGTTTCGCTGCCGCTTGCGACAGCAGGCGGCACGAGCGGCGGGCCGTCTGCGACGGGCTGGGCGCGCGCGGCGGCGGCGGCGGCGGCAGCAGCGGCAGCGGCTGCGGCGCTGCCGACGGACCCGCGGCCGGGCCAGGACGAGCGCGCGACCGCCCAGAGCGCGCGCGCCCCCGCGCCGCTCAACCTCGTCGCGGCGCCGCTCGACCCCGCCGCGCTCGCGGCCGCCGCGGCGGCAGCGGCGGCGGTGGCTGCCGTGCAGCTGCCCGCGGCGGCGCTCGTGCAGCACCTGCTGGTGCCCCCGCCCGCAGCTGCCGGCTGGGACGCGGCCCCCTTTGGCCACCACGCCAACAACAACATGCAGCAGCACGCCCACCACCACCGCGACCCCGTCGACGGCGCCGCCGCAGCCCTGCAGCAGCTCGGCGCCGTCCACTGCCAGCTGGCCGCGCTGTACGACTGGTACAGCAGCAGCCGCACCGCCCACATCCAGCGCGCGCAGGCGCTGCTCTGCCAGATCGACGCCGCGCAGCAGCGCGCGGC